TACATATTTTTTATTTGAATTATGTCTTATTAAGTATTTCCATAACATTTACTACAAGATTTACAATAAATATTTCATAATGTTTATAATAAATTTATCTATGCAATCTAAGACTACAAAAATATTTAAAATAAACTTTATAAATATTTGAAAATATTTTTTAAATATTTTATAAATATTGTGTGCTGTCTGGGATATAAAAGTATTAAGATAGATATATCACAAAATTAATAGTTTACAAGACATTTTAGTGTAGTTTACAAGACTCTACTCTGACATATTTACATGAAATATTAAATATTTTGTAAATTATTAATTTGTTATTAATTATATCTTAATACTTTTATAAACAGAATAATAAGATGAATCAATAATTGGTAAAGAAAACATATAGTTGCTTATTTAAGAAATGATTCATTTTGCCTATATTTATTTTTTTAAAACAAATGTGTATTTTTTTACACCAAAATAATATATCTTATGAACTATTGATTTTTTGGTACCTCTTCATTAATATAATATATACTTTTATGCAGAATAATTAGAGGAATAATATGTATAATGTAATGAATTATATAATTCCATTTGAAAAAATAAAAGTTTGAAATCTTTGAAACATAAAATCTTGAAATCTTGGAAGTATATCCACTTGGAGAGAATTTGTAACTATTGAAAAATATTTCTCAAAACAAAATCAGTTTCACTTGAAACATTTTTTGGAATAGTGAATAGTTTGGAAGATAATTGCGTCCAAAACTTCAAATGGGAACTGTATATGGCATATTAATCATATTACTAATATTCTATATATACTTGTACATAGTATGATATATATTACATATCATTAATATTATGTATTACATAATTACTATCAAAATTATATATTACATACCATCAAAATCTACTGTACCAGAACCGTCTGTGTCAATCTCCGCGATTATTCCATCAAGATCGGAACTAGTAAGTTTGTCATCGAGAGCCGCTAAAATCTCTTTCAATGTAGCTGTGGTAATGTATCCATTACCTTCACGATCGTACAATCGAAACGCTTCTTTCAGCTCCTCCTGCATTGCTTCCGCATCCTCCTCTTCAAGAAACCGACCGGCGATCTTACAAAAACCATCAAAATTTACTTTACCAGAACCTTCAGGATCATTCTCTTCAATTAAAGTATTTAATTCGCCATCATCAAACAGTTGTCCCATTGTATTTAATATCGTTGAAATTTTCATAGTCTCGATGAAACCACTTTTCGTTGTATCAAACATTTGGAATGCCTTACGCATCACAGCTACTTTTTGATCATCTTCCTCCTGTAAACAAAGTTTTGAATATATTAAGTTTATTTTTATTTATAATAAAAAAAATTATAAATATTAATAGTTAAGAGATATCTGAATATTTTTATAATAATTTTTAAACTTTTTAAATTAATTTAAATATTATAATTTGTTATAGTAATTTTCTATCCATCTGAAACATAAGAACATTTTTGGAGTGTTTTTTAAATAATATGAAATTTTATAGCCGGTTTGTGGTACTTGAATGTTTAATTTTTAGATAAATTTTTTCACTATACAAACTATTTCTCAGTTTATCTTTTCAGTCTTACCATGACAACTATCAAGGGAACTTTTACACCGTATTAGGCAAATCACCAGTGATGCACAATGAAGAACGAACGCTGCCGGATTTGAAGAGAATTGATTCTTCCATCCCAGTATAAAGACTTCCTGTCCGTATCTGCTAAAGCAGCTAGAAAGACGACGCATGCAAAAATAGAGCAGCGATGCCGACGAAAAATGAAATATGTTATAAGTGAATACCACAGTCACGTTTATATGAAGGTCGTATAAATGCTATCTCATAATTACCAATAAGTTTCAATGTAACTAATAGATTTTGTGATAATTGCATTCACCGAATAATGATGTTTAGCGTAGAGGCCCTCATATCTCTGCTGAAAATTTTTCTTAGAATCCTTCACATAATTTTTTTGGGGGAATTCTTTACAGAATTTCTATGTAAATTTCATAACTTTCGAGAAAATTTCTAGGATTTGTTACACGTATTAAAATACTTTTCAGAAATGCTAAAACAATTCATATTTCTGCTAAAATTTTTTTTAAATAACTTGAATTCTGAAAGATTTTAAGCTCTGTCTCTCTCTCTCTCTCTCTCTCTCTCTCTCTCTCTCTCTCTCTCTCACACGCACACACACACATACACACATTCTATATAACTTATTACAAAATCTGAACAACTTTAGATATTTTTTTAGAATTCTTCAAATTTTTAAAATCTAAAAAATATTAAAAATATTATTAAAAATATTATGAGATATTATGAAACTTTTTTTAAATGTAGGAGTATTAATTTTTTCTAACTTTTTGTGATTTAGTATAACATCTTGTGAAAAATTGTAATTATCCATCGATGTGTTCAATGATCTTCAAGATACCAATTACAATAAGCAAATATATATATTAAAAAAGTATATTTAAAAAATGTAAAATTAACAGTTGTACCTACATGTATGAGAAAAGACAGACATACAGACAGAGAGAGAGAGAGAGAGAGAGAGAGAGAGAGAGAGAGACAATCATATTGATATTCATTTGCATAACTGCAATATAGCAATTTTTATATTTACATGATAAAAATAGAAAAATTGTATAATTTCAATCGTATATATTAAAATAGAAACAAAAATTAGCTTCGCTTGAATCATTTTACCGTCGCGATATTTCAAGTTTGAAATAGGGCAACGTATTGCCGTTCTTAGACCACTGCCTACGCATTCCGTGGTTGCAATCCGTTACAACGCGTTACTATCTATTTAGCATGCTGCTAGAATGATGTAAAAATATATCAGGCTCTTTGTGGCTTTTCTCTCGCCTCTTGCAAATCATTCATTACCATTCACGTAATTTCTAGGTAAAGAAAAAATAGAAGATATTTCCTCCATTTAAAAATAATTTGCAAAATTGTACATCGTTTCCTTTTTTGGAATTGTAGTGAATGTGATACGAGGGTGGATCAAATATACAAGAACTTTTTTTTATTATTTATTGGACGAGAATAAAAATACAAAGAATACAAATTATTTTTTTACATAGTTTCCTGCTACATTAATATATTTTTGCTAGTGGATAGACAATTTGGCGATTCCGTTTTCATAAAAAGTAGTAGATTGTGTCTGCAGCTAATTCCGCACGAATTCCGCTATATTGGCATTGTCTTCGAATCCTCCGAATTCTTTTAGCGGCCCAAACAAATGATAATCGCATTGAGACAAATCTTTTCATATGATTATCATTTGTTGGGATCATTGAAAGAAGAATTGGGAACACAATATGATTCGTGGACGATGTCAGTGTAAAGGAATTCATGCGCAATTAACTGCAGATACAACCTACTACTTTTTATGAAAACGGAATCGCCAAACTGCCCATCCACTGGCAAAAATATTAATGTAGCAGGTAACTATGTAGAAAAATAATTTTTTTTTTATTCTCGTCCAATAAATAATAAAAAAAAACTCGTTTATATTTGATCTACTCTCGTATATCGCATTATGATGTCGCATATTATTTTATATTGTATAAATACGCGATTTCGAATTACATATAATTTTAAATTTTATGTGATTCAGTAAAAACGGTTAAAATGTATAATATTAAAACAAATAAAATGTATATTCCCAGCAAACGAGAATAGATTGAAATGAATTAAATGGATTCAGATTTTCAGAAATACTGATTCATGAATGTTAAAATGAATCCTTTTCAATTCTGCATTTTTATTCATTTATAGGAATTGCATAGAGTATATTTCTATACCTTTCAATCTAAAAATAATATTAGCATTTTCTGAGCATCGTGAATACTACTCAATTCAGAAGTGTGAATGGGAAGTACAGCTTTTTTAATTCAGTTAAATTCAAAAATAATAATCAGCAATTTCTGTGAAACGTGAATACTGTTCAATTCAATATTTTGAATATGAAATGCAGTTTTTCAATCTAATTAAATAAAAAAAGTTTTTATTTAAAAATGGATCATAAATACTACTTAAATTATTCGAAATTATAAGTAGGAAATTTTTCATTTTCCAACTAAGTTCAAAAAAATTGTAATGTAAAAGTAATTGAGCTATATTATTTTGTTTCTCTTTGATTAAAAATAAAATGAATGATCAATGTAAACACTTGCAAACCAAGTCGAACACAACCCGAATATTAGGCTAATCACGGCGCGCGACATCGACCAAGCGAGATTAGATTATCCGACACTTACCTAATGTTGTCTCATAGTAATGTAGATTGTTTATATTTTATTATTTCTGTTAAATGATATTTTTATTATATCTATATAATTTCATTACTAATTTAATTGGTTGTAATTTAAGTAAAAAGAATGAATAACACATTTATCAATTGAAGAAGTAGTGTAGCGGGTAACGTAGAAGATCATAATCCAGAGGGCCCAGGTTCAAATACCACTAAGGTGCGTTTTTTAATATTAATTTGAAGTTAATTTCAGGTATAATTATAAATGTTTTAGGAATAAAATTTGTAACCCTTAAATATAAATGTTTTTTTTCTCGAATATTAAACTAGTGTCAGCTCGGACTGAATCTATTTCAATCCATTCAATCTATTTTCATAAATTTAAAGTACGCATTATAAAAATTTTAAATCATTTTAATCCATTCTCGTTTGCTGAGCGGTCATCAAAGCTCCTTAGGACATTAACGGATGCAGAAATTGATTAAAACAGATTAGAGAAGAGTTGAAAAAAATAGCAGTTCATCATTTTACAACTGCCCAGCAAACGAGAATGGATTAAAATGGATTGAAATTTTTTTTCTATCCGAATGCGTAAATTAAATAGCAAATACTTTTTTTTGGATTTAATTAGATTCAATTAGATTCAATTGGATGCAATTGGATAGAAAAACTGCATTTCCTCTTCAAAATTTTGAATTGAACAGTATTTACAATGCCCAGAAAAAGCTAATATTATTTTTAGATTAAAAGGCATAGAGATATGCTCCATGCAATTCGTATAAATGAATAAAAATGTATTCAGGATTGAAAAGTATTCATTTTAACATTCGTGAATCAATATTTCTGAAAATCTGAATCCATTTCAATTCATTTCAATCCATTCTCGTTTACTGGGTGGTCAAGTCTTTATAAGTGATACATATCATTAATCTTGAAAATATTATATATATCTACTTCTATTGTATATACTACTTTGATCAAAAAGTATTTTAAACTTTTTTTTTTTAATTGCAGGAAAACTAAATCAAATCCGTTTACTTTGCTAAGTTAGTATCAGAGGGTAGAGAATAAGAGGCCGAACTAAGGTACCATAATGAGTATTCGCATCCGTCATTTTTAGTCCTTTTCTCATTCTCTTACTCCTTTCCTCAGTCCCTTGCTCTCTCTCTTCACTCCGTCATTAAACTAAGAAGATTGAAGAGAGAACAAAGAGTAGGGAAGGGATTAAAAATGGTAGATGCGAATACTTATATTATAGTGCTCCAGCCGAACTTACATAGACGAGGCCGTCAAAAAGCGTGGTCAAAAGTGGTCATTTGAATTAGTTCGATCGAGATGTCGCTTTCGTTCCACGACACCGTTCTCGTAGTTTGCATACTAATTACAAGAAAAATGCTCCATTCTTCATGCAGTTTTATTGACAATTTACATCTTTCTGTTACTATCAGAGCAGATATCAAAAAATAATATCTCTATTTTTAAGTTATGTGTGTTCAGTTGTGCGTAAATGTATATAGCAGGAGTTTTGCGATTCAAACGCCACCTACCCAGCACCACCAATACCAATTCAGAAATCTGATTTTGACTACACTTTTCAGAGTCTAGTCACAGTATAATCACAGTATATACAGTAGCGTAACTCTCTTGATTTTATGTTGTCCAAAATGAAATGCGCGTAATAAGTAAGTTGCCCAGTAATGCCATCTAAACTTCTATCTCACTTCTTCCTTTTCCCGTTCTCTCTTTTAGGACCATTTCAATCTTTCTCTTTAACGGTTTAAATTGATATTCTCTTTGGAAAACTAAATTTTTTTGGAGGAAATTAGTGTAATTGTCATTTGTTTATAAGCTGTATCAGTTTGAGAAAACTCTAGTTAACTATAGTTTGTAAAAAGTAAAAATCGTGCAAAAGAGAAAAAAGTGAAAAAATGAAAATATTATAGTACAAGTGATAAAAGTGAAAAAGTGAAAATAGTGCAAGAGTGATAAAAGTGAAAAAATTAACGAGGAACGAGAATCTTCTCAGGAGAATAGTTATATATATAACTATTATATAAGTTTTCTATTCTTTTGGAAGCACTTTTAATCTCAGTTTTGTTTCAGATATTGTTATATAGGAGAATTATAACTCAAGCGAAAACTAAATGAGAAGAATGAGTAGAAGAAAACAACCAAATTGTGCAGTACCATTGTGTGTTCAGAATTGTAATGTGGAACAACGATATTGTTTTGTGATGGGTGGCTGGTGTCACCTTGTACGGAAGGCTCGCTCGCCAAGGCGGCATGTAATAAACGATGACTCTCTTGATTGTAATACGTTAGATTTTATTATAGAGTTGAATTCCAATTTGTTTGAAGAGGGCGGTAAACGATGCTTGTAGTAATAATATTGCGATCAATTGAGACGTTCGGTCGATGCGTGCACAGGTAAT